TACCACTGAGGATATTTCATGTCAGCACTGTGGTCGGTGCAAGCCGGATGCGGAATCGTAACAACCAGCCATCGTGGAATTCGAACCCGGTTCACCTCATTGGAAGGCGGACGCATACCTGCCAACTCAGGTTATTCCAATTAACTTTTTGAATTATAATGATAATTACAAATGAGTTTGACCACCACTATATATAAATAATTACAATAAATATATAAAAGCATAATAAATCTTGCGTAAGCGAATTTCAACGGAATCAAATTAAAAATATATTTTTGCGCCAGATTCTTTTTCGTTTATTGTTTTACAACCCCTCTGAAAATCCATTCTCGGACAGAGTGAAAGTTGGCAGGTATGCGAACGCTGTATCCTTGAGCCATCGCCGCTCATGTTTTTCTTTTATCAATAAATTATAAAAACACATGAACGATGTTTAATAATTTTTATCATTTAAGTCTCGTATGCTTATTTAATATAAGTCGCCACTCCTTTCTGTTGACTCGCCATGTGGCGAGTGGTGGATGCTTATTTTCATGTCTAATAATAGTCGCTAAACAAAAACTTGTTCCATGTGTCGAAAATTTTATTCCAAAAGCTTGTAATAATATCGACTACCATGAATGGTAGATGCCTTTTGCAACGAAAAAAAAAAGTTTTGCTTTCACAATGTGAATTGGGACTTGGCAGAAATTTATTCAGATTGAATTGTTTGATTATTTATCGTTTTGTTACTTGATTATTCATTGTTTTCGGTTTCGTAAATTCTTTCGAAACGAATTTAAATTGGATATTACAGCTTCAGTTTTTGAAGTATTTAAGAACACTTCAGTTTAGATGAATTAATCACTCGTCTGGAATAGATAGCTTTAACCATTATAAATAAAATATTGAGTTGAAAAAAAACTGATAAAACTCATTGTCATGATGGGATGATAGCAGAGAAAATAAATATCGCTTCTCACTTGAAACAGATCTGCAAGAGTAAATAGATTTTTAAAATAATCTTAAGAAATTACGATTATTTCTTTTTGTTTTATTCAATTAATCTTAATTCAATATTGTAAATGAAATAAAATAATAATTTAAGATTTACAATTTTAGCTATTTTTCTAAAAAGAACTATGTTTGTGATTTAAAGAAGAATTGATTTTATGAGTAAAAATCCTTTCTTAAAACTTCTAAGTGAGGAATCTTTTACCTTAAGGATTTTAGCGTGACTGTAAGTATTGAAAATAACAATAACTAAATTATGTTAGTTGCACTGCATAATATAAATAAAAACGAGATTTATTTTTTTTCCGAAAGAGAGTAAGTAAGTAATCTGAGGTTTTAATAAGTAATTAGAGTAAGTAAATGAATTTTTAAAATAATCTTATTAAATTAACATTATTTCCTTTTTATCTACTTTATTTTGATTTTAATTTATTATTATAAATTTAAAAAATTATTTCGCATTTCTGATATTCAATTTTAATGATTTTAAAAAAAATCAAATGAATGATTTAAGAGTCTTTCCTAAATTTTTTTTAAAGAAGTAACAATTTTTAGCGTCATTGTAAGTTTTGAAAATAGCAATAATTATATATTAAATCGCATTGCATAATCTAAGTAAAAGCGAATTAATGTTTTCTGCGAATTAGATTACCAGTAATAATGGGTTGTTAATGGATGATGAGAGTAAATAAATGGATTTTTAAAATAATCTTATGAAATTAACATTATTTCTTTTTCATCTATTTTATTTTGATTTTAATTTATTATTATAAGCAAAAAAAAAATATTTCATGTTTCTAAAATTTAATTTTAATGATTTAAAGAAGAAAAAATTCAATGAATGATTTAAAAGTCTCTTCTAATTTTTTTTTTTAAAGAATTAACAATTTTTAGCGTGATTGTAAGTTTTGAAAATAGCAATAATTATATATTAAATCGCATTGCATAGTCTGGGTAAAAGCGAACTAATATTTTTTACGAATTAGATTACCAATAATAATGGATTGTTAATGGATAATAGAAATAAGTAATTGGATTTTTTAAATAATCTTATGAAATTAACATTATTTCAATTTATCCCTTTTATTTGATTTTAATTTATTAATATAAATGAAAACAATTATTTCATGGTTCTGCAACACAATTTCAGTGAATTAAAGATTGGTTAAAGTGTATTTTAAGATTGCATAGTGGACTAAAAATGTATAGCGTGAATTTAAGCATCGAATATAGTGATTAGGAAATTTAGTCATTTTCATTATATTTTAGTCATTTACATCATTTCATTATTTCATATAGGGTTGAGTAAAAAGTAATAGCGTTTTTTTCGCAACAGATGGCAGTAGTGCAGTTTCCAAAATACCTGAACCATTTATAATTGTAGTTTCAATGCCGCTGATAACAGTCAGTTTAAGCTTCATTGTAAAGAACAAATTGAGATATTTCGTTGAGTTTCGGAGACTTGACAACACGTTAAACATGGAAAATCAATGTTTTCATTTTCGCTATATTTTACTATTTTATCAAAGTAAATGGAAAAACGTGTATCAAAGTTGTGAAAAGCTGCGTAAAGTTTACGGTGAAGATCAGGAAGGCCTAGTTATATTGATGATATGACAAAATAATGGCACTCATCATGTCGAACCTACTTTACATGACGCGAGAGATTGCAGGGACAGTTAAAATCACTCAAAAAAGTATTAAAATACATCTAAAGAAACTGGGATGCGTAAGCAAGCTGAGATGTGTTTCTTATGAACTCTAAGAAGTTCTTGAAACGTGAAGAAAACTACCAGTTCTTGAAAAAAATGGTTGTTTTGATATAAATGGTGATGAGAAATGGTGTGTATATGGTTGTGTGAGCAGTGATACGGGTTTCGTCGCGCGATGAGGATTCGCCATTGACGAATAAAAAAACAAAACTTCATCACAGACAGGTTATTGGGATTGGAAGTAGTGTATGGTGTTTTTTGAGCTCCGACCAGGGAACGGAACAATCAATCTAGACGTGTACTGTAGGCACTAGGACAGTTTGAACGTAATTCTCTTCCAGAAGATCCCTAAGCTTATCAATCTTAAAAAGGTAGTGTTCCATTACGAGAACGCGAGACCACGCATATTTGGCGTCCAATTGAAAGTTGTTGGAGTTTGGATGGGACGTATTGCCCCACCTATCGTACTCTCCTGACCTTGAGTTGTAAAACTTCCACTTCTTTCACTCTCTTCTAAACTCCTTGCTACGATAAATTCAGATGTGGCTGTAATTCAGTTCGCTTTTCCGCAAATGAAGACTGGTCTTTCTACGAACGAGGGTTATGAAACTCACCAAATTTTTACTAAAAGTAATAGAACAAAAGCAAAGACATATAATTGATACACCTTTCACTTTTTGTGTAAATATATGCCTTCCAAAAATTTGAGAAAAGGAAAAACGCTATGACTTTTTACTCAACACAATAGTTAAGAGTGTTATTTATAAATTAGGATATGCTATAAAATTTTAATTGCGACTATTAGCCTTCATTGAAAACTACGCAAAATCATCGCTATTTTATTACAGCTCGATTTAAATAGTGATTTAATAATATTTTCTTGAGATATTTTTATTAATTTAAAGACCTTTAATGTAAATGTAAGTGTTGAAATTATCAATTAATAAATTTAATCATTTGCATTACTTAATAAAATTAAAAGCAAAATAAATTTTTTTATGAATTAGAGTAATTAATGATCTTTTTGATTTTTTGATCAAGACTGTTCAAAGTCAATGAAAACATGGAAAAAATCACATAGCTATTACATTATAGCTTAATTTAATGAGTAATTGAACTATACTTTCTTCAAACATCTTAGTAACTTAAGTAATGTTTGAGGAATATTATTTAAAGTTAGATATATTTATTTAAATTAATTTACTCAATCATAATAAAACATCAAATTTGTAGAACCAGGATAAAAACGATTACATTATAGCTTGATTCAAAGAGTAATTTAATTCTATTTTCTTCAGAGTTCTTAGTGATTAAAGTAATTTTCGCAGAATATTATTTCAAGTTGTGTATATATTTATTTAAATTATTTTGCACAATCATAATAAATCATCAAATTTGAAGAACCAAAATAAAAACATAACTGAATACTTAACCAATTCAGGTGTATAAAAAAACTTCCCGATGAAATCATTTTATTTCATAGCTATGATATTGTTACAGATGATTTGCATGGTCCTTAAAAAACTTAAGTAGTAGAAAAATTAATTAAATAATGTATATTTTAATAAGTCTGCATGTACCACATTACTTAACGCTTCCAAAATGAGGTACCTAAGCAACAGGTTTCCAATTTTTAACTTTAAAGTGAAAATTAGTATACTTAAATTTGTAACATTATTGTCTCCTCTTGTATGAACCCTGCCATAGATAATTTTAATATTTATTCGTGCATTGAAATAAAATTGACTATAATTTTTAAAAAAATGCAGTGGCTTTTAAATAATTTAAAAAGTAAAATTAAAGCGTTGAAATTCATGACGAAATACCAAGTTTGCAAATTAATAAATAAATAAAATTAATAAAAAATTAACAAATTTTTTTTTTAAATATCTATTACATTTTAATGTCGTTGAAAAAAATCTTCTGCAAAAACGTAAAAGTTAATAGCTATAAAATTATTGAAATTTTAAGTTATAGTGACTAAAGTTTAGTAATAATTGGGTAACAATAAATTGGGTAATAATAATTAGATAACAATAAATTTGGTAACACTAAACTGGGTAACAATAAATTGGGTTATTGGGTAACAATATTTTGGGTAATAATTATAATTTGGTAACAATAAATTTGGTGATAATAAATTGGGTAACAGTAAAATATATAATTGGTTAGCAATGAACTCTGTGACAATAATAATTGAGTAATAATAAATAAACCTACACAGGTTACATTTTGTTTTATTTTTTTCTTTAAGCAGATCATCTTTAGATAATAACCAAATTATTTGTATTTTAGGAATAATGAAATGATAAATAATTTCTTAGGAATAATGTATCTAGGTAAGTTGCTTTATATTTATTGTTCTGTTTATCTTAATAAAATTGTCGGCAAAATTGGACAAAATTTTGAAAGCTTTTGTTTTTTGTTTGTTTGTTTGTTGTATGTAACTTCTATGAAACATTTTGTTGCTCTATAAAAAGCGTAGTAGTTGGCAGCCTTGATATTAAAACAAAAAGATTCCTTATCGTACTTTCTGGAACTAAAAAAATTTTACATTTCGTAATAGAACATAACGGTTGACGAAATAAACTTTACTAAATATGTACAAAGTAATGGAATAGTGCAAAACCATTATAAGAACAAAAAAGTTTGACAATTTTCGCCAACGACCTGAACTGAGTACGTTTGAATCAGGATAATACTTTAGTTATACTAGTTGCAGTTCATTTACGTCGCACTAGAGCTGCACAATGGGCTATTGGCGATAGTCAGGGAAACATCCCTGAAGATGATCCAAAGATATGCCATCACAATTTTCAATCTCTGCAGAGGGGATGGCATCCCCACTTCGGTACCCTGACGACCTGCACGAGAAGTCTTGCCCTTTACGGTAGAACAGTTTAGCGAGGACCAATACCGTACACCCTCGGTCCCTACCCAGTTTAATCCAAGTGGTCATCCACCAGCACACTGATCGCAGACAGTGATGCTTCACTTCGGTGATCTACTGGGAATCGTGGCTTAACGATCAGTTCAATGCGGGATATAATACCTTAGTGATGTATATTAAGAATAATTCTTAAGTAGTATAAAGCAATTTCTTCATCATAATTTCCAAATAGCAAATATTACTTAGTTTCAGTGAAATTAAATTTTAATGAACATCGCGGATTTATGTTACGTGAAATTTACGATTTATTATTTCAATGTTAGAGTTTAACATAAAGTACACGGTTAGAATAGTCATTCTAGAAACCGACAGTCGGCTAAAATAACCAGTAGCAGTCTCCCCATCTAATTAATCGTAAAATTTATGGTAAAGAAAATTTTTACCTTTACGATTTCGAAACCATTTACTACTAGCATGGTAATAAAATTATGAATACAAATCTATACGTGTTTTTACAATTTATAGCTAGCATAGTTTAAGAACGTGAGAAAGAATAACTTGTCACATGATCTTTTCGTTAGGTAATGGTTATCTGAGAGTGCAGGATTCTGGAAGTTGTTCATGTATTAAAGGGAATGGAGGAACGTTTTCAACGTTGGACCTTTGCTCTGTCGGCTACCAGATTAATCTTCCCGGCAACAATACGTACCCAGCTGCAAGGAACTACGTGTCTTCATTAGGAGTGACAGAATTCTGGTTGTTTAACGGTATTAGATAAAAGTAGTTAATAAATGATTTTTCACACATTCAACGTCCCTCAGTGGACTGATCGTTAAGACATGGTTCCCAGCAGATCACCGAAGTCAAGCATCACTGGCTGCAGTCAGTGTGCCGGTGGGTGACCACTTGGATCAGTCTGCGTAGGGACCGAGGGTGTGCGGTATTGGTCCTCGTTAAACTGCTCTACCGTAAAATGAGGTCGTTGGGCTACCGAAGCGGGGGTACCATTCCCTCTGCAGAGGATCAAAATTGTGATGGCTTGTCTTCGGATCATCCTCAGGGATATTTCCCAGACCGTTGCCAATAGCCCATTGTGCAGCTCTAGTGCAGCGTAAATTAACTACAACAACAACACACATTCAACAGTTTGAATACCATCTCCTTTATGGTTATTTGACTTTTTTGTTTGAATATGGTAAAATAACACTTAAATAAATTGTTATTTAACCATATTTTTCATGAAATTTCAACCAGTGTATTGATAAGTTCTTCTAATTTATTAGTTTAATACTTGAATCATTCAACTTAAAATTTCAGAAAAAAATATTCTAATCATGCTAATAATAATATATTTCTAGATCCAAAGACCATCTACTTCCCCAGAAGACATGTTATTGTTCTTCTTGGATGTTTCGGCTTGCTTGCAGTCTACACCATGAGAATCAATCTTAGTGTAGCAATAGTGGCCATGACGAACCACAACCACACGAAAACAATTCCTGAAAATAGCACAATCGAGGAAGTTCTAGAATGCCCAAATCTTGCTAGAAATCAGTCTACAAATGAAGTCCCTTCCTATAAAGTAAGAATGGATTCATATATGCATAAATGTCAACTTCTCCCGTTTTGAACAATATGTGCCATTTAAAAAGACAGATTTTCATTTTCAGAGAAAAATAAAGGGTTTTTTTTAAATTTTTTATTTTTATTTTGCTGAAATATAGTTCCATTTATCCTTATAAAACAATAATATAGATATTTACAGGGATTGGGCAAGAAATATGAAAACATTTCTATACTAACTGTAGGTAAACAATATTTCTCTTTGCTCCAAAAGTCTTGGAAGATTTTACATGCTATTTGTATTCAAAATGTACATTATATTTCATATTTATTTAATAAATAATTCTTAAGAAACTGTTAAGCGGTAAGATATTACCTGAGTAAAAACTTCCTTCGCTTCAAAAATCTGTAAATAGGAAATAACAGTCGACAGGTTTCAAGTGCCGAAAAACAGGCACCCATTTTTGTTTCTTGAATGATCAGAAACAAAAGTGACTTGAAATATAAAACGGAAAGTTGCCAATGAAAAATGAAAAAAAAAAAAAAAGAGAAACCACAATAACCAAGAGAAAAAAAAGAAGATAAAAAGGAAAAACTGACTAAACAAAAAATAAAAAACCACATTGGCCGAGAGGGGAAATCAGGATAAAATGCATTTTCATGCGTTTACAGATAGGTGGTGAGGAACTAATGTTGTTAACATAGGAATAAAACAGGATTCCAGGGCATCAAGATAAGCTGATGTGACTGGGGGGGGGGATAAATAATTTTAGCTGTGCCGAAATTGAATTCATGCCTAAGATTCCAGCAATGTGCAGCAATTGCTGATTTCTCGTATTCTAGATAAAGAAAGTAATTTAATATGGGACTTCTCAAATGTTGCATTTTAATTGTCCTAGAGATAATGTTTGAAAATTGATGCACCTCAAGAAAACCTTTTAGAAAGTTAAAATCTGTAAATATCCTCCACGGGATGATCCGAAGGCATGCCATCACGATTTTGATTCTTTGCAGAGGGTGTGGCTCCCCAGCTCTGGTAGCCTGACCAAAGAATATACATCGAGGAAGAATTCCAGCTCCATAATGTAAACCAGTCTCCCAAGGTTTGGTTCGATTCCTGTGTATAAGAGAAAAAACAACATTTAGGGGCATAGCAGCAGATGTTTTTGAGAATGTTTTGCTTCTTTCTGTCCTCCCAACCACTGCTAGGGTTGGGGAGGGGAAGTTTTGCTTTTTTTTTGCACTATTTATAAACAGTACTCTACTATTATTAAGATATTTCTTTGAGATATCATCCATATTGATTAAATATGCTAACACATTTTGACGTAAAAAGAAAGAATGAAGTTGCTGTTTGCAGTACGCAGCAACCGGTCCAACAACCTTCTCACAGGGGACGTACTCCGGACTGTCACTTTGCTTCTAATGCGCATGAACTGAATTTTAGTACACATGATGCTTTGCTAAATTTAAATATATTTCTCACCCTATAAGTTGTTTTTCTGGTATATCATACCGCACCGAGCAGTTTCCCACATTAGTTACGTATTCTAAGAGCCCTACTTTATTCCCTTTCCTTTTTCTATGACAATACGACCTGCGCGAGTACTGTACTGTAAATACGGTAAAACGACTTGATGAGGTCCGATACTGCGCACTTTCGGTCCCTAAGCAGGCTGATCAAAATGGTCACCCAGCCACTTCCGGGGATGGTTGAGTTCTGTGTTATACTGGGCTTCGTGACCTAACGATCAGCGACCTTACGATCAGCCTACTGCTGGAAATTTAAAATGCATTTACCACATTCTAATAGTTTGAACACAATTTATATAGTCTGAGTAGTAGATATTTCACGTGCTACAACCTAACTTATTAAAAACATAACATTTTTCTTTCTAGGGAGAGAAATACGACTGGAATCCTAGAATTCAAGGTATAATTCTTGGTGCATACTATCAAGGGTACGTTGTTACTCAGTTGCCAGGAGGCATTCTGGCTGAAAAGTTTGGCGCCAAGTGGGTGTTTGGCGGTGGTGTATTGGCAACATCAATATTTTCCTTGTTAACTCCCCTGGCTGTCAGTTGGGGTACAACTGCTTTTATTTGTGTTCGAGTTCTTCAAGGGTTTGCTGACGTAAACATACTTATCATTAAATTTTTAATCCTAACCCATTTAATTAATTCAACTGATTAATTAAGTTTTATATTTATGTTTAAAGTGGTTGTAAAATATATTTCTCAGATTCATAAATTTGATTTAAAATGACATTGACCAACACTACAAATTAATAAGTTAAACGAACATATAAGTGCATAAAAATCATTCAATGTTGTGATTAAGCTCCAACAAAATAAAACGTATTTTTCTGCCGATACTTATAATTCAAATTTTAATCCACTCAATTAAATCATCCTCGGAAAGATTAAAAGCTGTCATATTGAAACTAACGTCTTATTAAAAAGACTTTTCCTTTTTACGAAAAAATGATGGCATAATTATTTTATTATAAAGATTCATATTACAGAAACAAGTTTTAACAATCACCATGTATTAATTACGTAAATGTTTCAAGTTAGATCTGAGTATTGCTTGAATTCGCTTAAAATAAATTTTACTCTAATTAATTGAGATTATGAAAAAAGCCCTCCCTAGGGACAAAAATACTTCACTATTCTAACACTACATGATCTTGGCACTGCAATCGATTTAAATTGATATTTTAAGAGGCTCTCCAGTAACGTACAGTGGCGCTGCTGTCGATTTGAATCACGACACTCTAATAGTTTTAGGCGTCGCAGTTGTACGGTCGTCGCTACTCTTAGAAGCTATAATGGCATCACATTAACTAATTATATTCTAGCTTATATTGTATGATTTTGTTTGCCCAATAATTTATTTATATTTTCTTCTTAATTTTAATTTATGAGTAAAACTACTTCAGGATTAAGCATCACGTGATATAAAGAAAAAAGGCCCATACGAGGCCTGAAGGCCCCGGACAACCAAATGACTATGGTACAATTGTTCTTTGAAACTAAAGTTAATACAAACAAAAGAACATTTTCAATTTAAGGGAAATATAACTGAATGTTAAAATCTTCGAGCTAATGCCTATAGTAAAATGAATCGTTTGCAATCCAATGCCCAAGCTGATAGCTATTGCCAACGGATATTTTGAATGATTCGCATGAGCCCAAATTCTATTTGAAAAGTACTTGAGAGAAATTTATCATTTATATTTGAGAATTGAATCTGTGATAAATAAGATAAGTAAATAAGACAAACCAATCGTATTCATAAATTAAAAACAATTTTTAGACATATATTTGCTACCACTTTCTTATTTTTACTAGATTTTGTATTAAATGGCTCGTTCGTAAGCGGGTTTAACTTCATAGTGATCTAAACCAAAAACTTACCAGAAACCGTGTGAAGGCTTTCAGTTATAGGAGGCGCTTCTCTGCTCGCAGTGCTGATCCAACGCCTCCTATAACTGAAATTCTCCACGCGTTTTCTCAAAGGTAGTCCGATCAGACCACTATGAAAGTAAACCAGTTTACGAAAGATCGATTTAATACGAAGTCTAGTAAAAATAAAAAAGTGGTAGTACATATATGTCTAAATTTTTTTTTAAATTTATGAATATGATTGGCTTGTCTTATTCACTTGTCAACCACTACAGATTCAATTTTCAAATATACATAATAAATTTCTCTCAATAACTTTTAAAGTAGAATCTGGGTTCATGCACCTAACTTGTTCATTTTTTAAATAGTCTGCGCAGACTACTTCTAAAAAACCGTGTGGAGGCTTATCACTTTGTCACAATCATGCCGTATTGATGAAATTGTGGAGCCTTAACCTAGATGTTACCCCTGGTCCACAGCGGGCTATGTGAAACAGAAAAAAAACGACAGAATTTTGCAAATTTTTTTAAAGCAAGAAATAAATAAAAAGATATTTAAAGTCTAACAAACTATCTAAACAAATTTTCTAAATATTTATTTAACTGTTTGAGATTTCATCTGAATTACCTCGTTTTTATAGGGTGTAACAGCACCCTCAATCCAAATCGCCATAAGCAAATGGTCACCAAAGATGGAACGTAGCAGAGCTTCAACAATTATTTTTTCTGGAGTCATGGCTGGTGAAGTTATAGCTATGACACTCTCTGGAGTGTTATGCGGCTTAGATACATTTGGTGGATGGCCATCTGTTTTTTATCTGTTTGGTAAGCATATAGTAATATTGATTAAAGCTAATAGAAGTTATCTCTTATGAAAAACTCTAAACTAAATGCATATCTTGTATTTCAGGGGGAATGGGTGTCCTGTGGTGTATTTGTTGGTTTCTTTTTATGTATGAAACACCAGATATACATCCAAGCATCTCCAAGGAAGAGCTGTTTTATATTGAAGACAATCAAGACGTGCAATCAGAAAAGGTTTTATTTTTTACAATACAAATTTTCAGAACTGAAATTTCAAAAGTGTCTATGTTAAAAAGAGAAAGTTAACAGAAGATGAGACTATTATGGTCTTTAAATATTTTGGTTGGTGCTTAAGGAGAAAAGGAAACACAATTATCTAAGGAACTAATACATAAGTTTAATTGTAAAGTCAGTGTTCGGTTTATTCAAATATTTTCGTTAATTAAATAGATAAAATACCATAGAATTTTGATGACCAAATCTCTCATTTATTTCTTATTTAGTTATCATATTTTGAGATTGTGGGTGTTCTGAGGACTGCACCGAGTCTCTAATATAGTTCTTATTTAGTTATCATATTACTAGCCGTAATCATATTAAGTTTTCATATTACTAATCAGAATATATTTGAGACCTAGTGTCTAATATATTTCTCATTTAAATATCATATTTTAAGATTGTGATTGTTCTGAGGACGATATTGAGTCTCTAATATACTTCTTAATAAGTTATCATATTTTGAGATTGTGGGGGTTCTGAGGACGGCACCGAGTCTCTAATATAATTCTAATTTGGTTATCATATTACTAATCGTAATCATAATAAGTTTTCATATTACTAATCATAATATATTTGAGACCTAGTGTCTAATATATTTCTTATTTAAATATCATATTTTAAGATTGTGATTGTTCTGAGGACGATATTGAGTCTCTAATATACTTCTTAATAAGTTATCATATTTTGAGAATGTGGGGATCTGAGGACGGCACCGAGTCTCTAATATAATTCTTATTTAGTTATCATATTGCTAGCCGTAATCATATTAAGTTTTCATATTACTAACCATAATATATTTGAGACCTAGTGTCTAATATATTTCTTATTTAAATATCATATTTTAAGATTGTGGATGTTCTGAGGACGAGACCGAGTGTTTAATAAGCGTTTTATTTAGTTATCATATTTTAAGAGTGTGGTTGTTCTGAGGATGAGACCGAATCTCAAATAAATTTCTTATTTAGTTTTCATAGTTCAAGATTGTGGATTTTCTGAGGACAAGAACCGACTCACTAAAAAATTCCGTATTTAGTTATCATATTTTAAGATTGTGGATGTTTTGAGGACGAGACCGAGTCTCAATATATTTCTCATTTAGTCATCGTATTTTAAGATAGTGGATGTTCTGAGGATGAGACCGAGTGTCTAATAAGCGTTTTATTTAGTTATCATATTTTAAGATTGTGGTTGTTCTGAGGATGAGACCGAGTCTCTAATAAATTTCTTATTTAGTTATTATAGTTTAAGATTGTGGATTTTCTGAGGACAAGAACCGACTCACTAAAACATTTCGTATTTAGTTATCATATTTTAAGATTGCGGATGTTGTCAGTTTAAATTTTAATGACATTTATAAACTAGAAATCACAGATTGAAGTGCTGTGCAAATTCTTAAGAAACGAACAAGTTTCATAAATTAGTTTGAAAAGTGAAATAAAATTTTATGTCCATTTTCTTAAACACGCTTTCAATCTGCGTTCAGCTTTCTGCGAGACTCATTCCGAGCTATTTCCAGAATAGAAAGTTCGACTAAACTATTTCCCCTTTAATTCTTAACTTGTTATAAATTTCTAAAATATTTCTTCACAAAGATACAAGCTGGCAGCTATGTAATAATTAAATTTTAATATAACAGAACATCTCGATCCCATGGAAAGAAATGATGTTATCCGCACCTGTATGGGCATTTACTTTTGCTGTGATAGGACATAGTTTCGGTTACATCATGTTGATGACAGAGTTGCCAACGTATCTACATACAATTCTTCGTTACGATTTGACATCGGTAAGTACTTTTATGATTTAAATGTTCTTTCTCTGCAAAATTTAAAGCATTTTTGATACATTTAAATGTGCTTTAAGAAATAATCAAGGGCCGGGAGAGCAAGTGGCATCATTTACAATATTTTCTTTCATTTATATCTTTCCATTCTATTCTTTCAAATTTGCTCGCAGGTTCTTGATACAAATAAGAATAATTCAATAAGTGGTATTTAAGGTTTAATGTTGTTTTTCGAAACTCTGTTGTCAAGGAAAATTAAAAAAACCATAGTTTAAATGCTTTTTACTTGAAGCATAGCGATAATTTTAAACTATATATATAAATCTTGACATGATGCAGAGATGCCAACTGCTCCGGACACGCCAAAATAATTTAAAAAGCGGAAAATAACTACAAAGTAAATTTTGCTAATATTTGACTATTTCTGGTTGCTTTTTAAAAGGTATAGCATTACTTAAGTACAGTACAATGAAGTGAGGAATTTTATAAGCCTACGAATTACTTAGAAATACTGGTGGATAAAAATCAACTAAATTGAATTTATTAAACCAAGAATCACAATTGATAAACTACCACTTTAAAATATATATTTGCTGTCTGGAGTAAGTTGGCATCTCTGATGATGGATTATCTGGGCTTTAGAACAAACAAATAACTTGAATATTTTTTAAAAGTTTTTTAACTTTTTTAAAATCGCCAATTCGGTGACATTTTCCTACCTACATAAAAATTATCAAAATCACTGCCTTATTCTCAGTTTTTGCAAATGTTTATGATCCCAAATAATGCAGCATTTAAGCAAGATTTTAACTATTAAAAATAGACCACAAATGCTTTTCATTTTCACAAATGTTATGGCTTTTCTCCAGATTTTACGCCCTTTTCAAAATAAGCGTAGACAGCGCTGGCTTTAGATAGGCTAAACTTGAGCTAACAGTCATAAGTAACAGTTGCAAACTTACATCAGTAATAAAAATAGCTTATTATTTGCGAAAAAGCATTATTTCATATTTCAATGGAGTCTTCAAAAAACAGTTTTAATGAAGCTACTGAAAAATGTTATATTTATCAGAGATCTTTATATTTAGATCTGAGCATAACAAAAAAATTCCTTACGTTAAGTTTTAATTTCCTTTTGATTATTAACTTATTTTTCGTTTATTAACTTATTCTTTTGCATCTATATTTTCTTTAAATTGAAATTTTGTCAGTAAATAGTTATAACTTAACACATTTATATTTTTCAGAACTTTGCGAACACCTTAAAATCATTTTTAATAGGGTAAAATTCTCACAAAGTTTTAAAAATTAAGCCCACTAAACATTTTAGTCCAGAACTTGCAGTTTAACATAATTTAAGGACTTTAAAAATATAGCAAATAATTGCAAATGTTTATTAGAAGATTCATGTTTTCAGATACAAAATGAAAGCCGAAAGACATGCTTGAATAAATCTTGTAAACAATTTAACTTTTGAGGATAAAGTATGATGCTGAAAAAAAACCATGTTTAATAAATTTGGATCTATAAACCGTTTTTTCACGTACTAGAACTCAATCTTATAATAATTATTTCATAATGACGAAAAAATAGGACCAAATTTTTTCAATTTTTAAAAAATGAACTATCCCTTAAAAAGATACCAGTCACAAATAGGTTAATGGTTTGAAATGAAATGAGGCAAAATATTTTGCGAACTCGATATTTTGCGTAACGACATCAGACACAAAAACGGATTTTTTTGTGTATAGTATAATTTTTCTTCTGTATTTGGATTCTTAACAGTCAAATAGGGGTAGGGAGATTTGTAAAGTATGATCCCTATAGTTTAGACAGGAAAACAGTACTTTAATGCTATTCGCAATGTTGTAAAAATTTACAGAGTCTTTGATTTAAAATTTTTTAGACAAGTAGTAAATAATATAATAATAGCAAAAAATATTTCTTCACGAACTTATGTTTGGATATTTGAGCTTTATAATTGTGGCAAGGAATTTTCAATTTGTTTTAGAAACTTCTAACGTATGGTGAAATACGTAGAAAGAGTAATCAACATTAAGAGCTCCAAAGCTTCGAACACTGTCATACATAAATTATCGGAAACATATTTTCCAGAATACAACTACCCCCCCCCACCCCATAAATTTTGAGGGTCAAGTATCCAAATCCATCGGAATAAAAGGTATGTTTATTCAGAGTAAGTTTATTTTTGTGTCTGATTCTGTAACTTACTTGATAGCACAAATTGGTTAACATATTTGAGGTAAGGTTTTTGAATCATTAAGAGTGAGTTCTAATGCATGAAAATCCGAATACAAGATCACCAGGTACTCAGTATGTTTTTAACTTTGCGCATTGTGGATCTATATTTATGAGTGTTTGTGTTCGGTTGTTTAGAATGGAATCCTGTGTGCAATTCCCTTTATTCTACAATTGGTTGTTTCATGGATTGCATCATGGGCTGCTGATAAACTAAGGACGACAAACAAGTTTTCCATCACATTCATTCGAAAATTATTCAATACTATAGGTGGGAATTCAGCTTTTTTATCTTATTTTGTAATCAGTAATATAGCATACACAAACTAAGGTAAACAACGTTTAAGAGCACAAAAAATATTTATAAATGCAGAGAGCTGTTTCGGATGCTCAAAGGGCAACCTTCATCAGTGCAACAGAAAGAAATGAGAGAAAACAGTGTTCTCTCATTTCTTTCTGTTGCACTGATGAAGGTTGCCCGTTGAGCATCCGAAACAGCTCTCTGCATTTTTAAATATTTTTTGTGCTCTTAAACGTTGTTTACCTTAGTTTGTATTTTAGCACAAAGGTCGCTCACTTGTGTATTTAATACAACATATAGTAATAACATGGGGTAATAAGAGTAACATTTACTATTATTACCCCATGTAAAGTGGGAAAGAAAAAAGCTCACATCGAACAACTTTTGATCTAATGATCGGATCATCACGTACTAGGCATAAATTGTAAGGGTTCTAAGGAGTGACTTCAAATATGCTAATAAATTAGGGCAGCACTACTGAAAGTTACGAAATCAGACACAAAAATGTACTTTCTCGGTATAAACATAGTTTTCTTATGATAGATTCGGATTTCCGTCCACTAAGGATAGGGAGTAGCTGTAATCTGGGATATACTTGTGTGATCTCCATAGTTTGGAGTGGAGAGCGATCCCAAATTTCAACCTCTTAACGTTAATTTCCTTTTTTGCTTATATTGCCATATGTCAAAAACTTTTTAAATGAATTGAAAGATTTTTTTATACAAATAATAAAATTCGTTTCTGATTTTATAATTAAAATTTTTGTCACACTAAAGAAAATTTCAAGAAAAAAAAAACTTTAACTAAGTATTTATTATTCGTCATTATTTTATTTATTAATAGTTGAAAAAAAAACTGATTCGTGGGTTTAAAGAATGCAAGTTTACATTGCAAAATACGAAGTTTGAGCGAATAGTTCTAGAGAAATTGAACTTTAAAAAAGTCGTACATTTAAAAATTTGATTCTATTCGACCGATTTTGCTCAAATTTTAAATTTTGCCAAGTGAAATTGCATTTTTTAATGTATTTTAAAATTTTATATAGCTTATACTTCGAAATTGTTACGACAATTAATAAATAAATTAATAAAAATGATAAACATTTACTGAAAGTTATTTTGTTGCAAAAATATTTCGGGGTGCAAAATTTTTTCTATTCGTTTGAGAAAATTCTCAGGATATGGCGAAATACGCAAAAAATAAAATTGACTTTAAGGGGTTCATACTTTGGATCAGTCTCCTGACCAAATTATATAGACTATATTTCCCAAATTGAGGCCACTTTCTACATTTTAGGGGTCAGTAATCCGAATCCATCATAAAAAACTATGTTTATTCAAAGAATGCGTTTTTGTATCTCATTTCATAACACTGCGCTGATTAATTAGCATATTTGAGATTACTCCTTCTGAGCATTGAGATAGAGTCCTAGAAAGTGAAAATCCAGTCATTCGATCAAAAGTTATTCAGACTGATTCTTTTCTTTTTTGCACACTGTACACCTAAGATAAAAAAAAATTAAGTTAATTTATCTTAAAAAATCACTATAAATTAACCCTTTGCACTCGAGGGTGCTGATCTGGCGCCGTAAATTTTACACACCACTCTAAATGTTAAAATGTATGTCTTTTATTGTTTAGTAACTTATTAATGTAATGTTTACTGTGTGTTATATGGTAGTTATGTAAATTTTGCCTTGTTAGCTCTTTGTAGTTTACATCTTTCATTTGAAATTGTAGAAAAATCTTGAGTGCAAAGGGTTGAATGCGATTAGCATATACCATTTAAGAGCCATTATTTTGAACTTCAAACAATGTGTGACAGTTGCATCTTTTAATTGGCTAGATTATTTTTTAATATGGAAGTAGGTTATAAAATATAAATATTGAGCTCCTAAATCCCCCCACTTTGTAGAAAATTCCAAAGTTCAAGGTTATTTCTTTGAAAGTGAAATGTAAGTATGCTTTAAGGGGTATATCTTACAAAAGCAACAACACCTAAAGCTTTGCTTTGCTATATTATTAGTATATCACTGCCCAGTGATGGACTAGCACTCGTTTCTATGGGGCATCGTTGCTTTTACAGTTATGGTCAGTTAAAGTTAGTGAAAAATTCGGGTTTTGGCGCTTTTCTGCCCCAGAAAAGTTTGGTTAAATAACAAGACCCCAATGATTTCTTTACTGGATATTAAAATTCACTATTAGGCAAGCTCTGTGATCCGGCACTTTTCTGAGTTATTGATGCTTTTAGTAGATATAACCAGTCAAACTTTCAAAAAATGCAAAATCTGCATTTTTTTTATTTAGCTTTTCTCAAAACGACATTGACGCTAAAAAAACACTAACTGTACCTTCATTTACAAAAATAAATCTACCAACATGTGGAAAACAGAAATCAATAAGATCTCACCTCGTTTTCAAGAAAATAATGATCAAATTTGCATATAAATGCTACGTCAAAAATCTTAGCCGTTATTATAAATCGTTATTATACCTGAAAGATCACCTGCTCACATCTGCACTCTCTCCCTTCTTTGAGGCTCATTGAGATGATTTGAGGGGGACGGTTGAATTATTTCTANTTTTCTTTTTTGCACACTGTACACCTAAGATAAAAAAAAATTAAGTTAATTTATCTTAAAAAATCACTATAAATTAACCCTTTGCACTCGAGGGTGCTGATCTGGCGCCGTAAATTTTACACACCACTCTAAATGTTAAAATGTATGTCTTTTATTGTTTAGTAACTTATTAATGTAATGTTTACTGTGTGTTATATGGTAGTTATGTAAATTTTGCCTTGTTAGCTCTTTGTAGTTTACATCTTTCATTTGAAATTGTAGAAAAATCTTGAGTGCAAAGGGTTGAATGCGATTAGCATATACCATTTAAGAGCCATTATTTTGAACTTCAAACAATGTGTGACAGTTGCATCTTTTAATTGGCTAGATTATTTTTTAATATGGAAGTAGGTTATAAAATATAAATAATGAGCTCCTAAACTCCCTCCCCCCTACTTTGTAGAAAATTCCAAACTTCAAGGTTATTTCTTTGAAAGTGAATGTATATTTTAAAGGGTATATCTTAAGAAAATAGCAACACTTAAAGTTTTGTTTTGTTATATTATTAGTATATCCAACGCCTCCTATAACTGAAAGCCTCACACGGTTTTTCGTACGTAGACCGATCAGACCACTATGAAGGTGAACCAATTAGTGAAAGAACCATTTAATATGAAATCTATTAAAAATTAGAAAATGGTAGCAAATATATGTCTAAAAATTTGTTTAATTTATGAATATAATTGGTTTGTTTTATTTACTTGTCAACCACTACAGATTCAATTCTAAAATATATATGATAAATTTCTCTCAAGTACAGTAAAACTTGTGAAAGTTGATCACTTGTGGTGCATTGTTTTAGTGGTCAACTTATAGAGGGGGTAGGTCATTGTTTACTTTTTCGTTTCCTATATCATGTTGCTATATATTTAATTTCTTTTTTTTACTTGACTTAAAAATTTTATTCAGAAAATATGCAAATGAATATCTTAAGAAATGAGTTTAAACCTGAATGAACTTCAATTTGATACACATGATTCCAATATTTAACTAATTTTTTTTTAAAAATTATTCCGTTAGTTATGCATGTGAAGTGTTTAATAAATATAATTTCTTAAAATATCAGTACACGAAAACATGTAATTTGAAAACTTTAGCAAAATAAAATTATCTGAACACTTTAAAATTTATTTACTAAGCTTAAAGATCAAAGACCATAAATAAAGGATCAAAGCATATTTCAGAGCATTCATTTATTCAAATGCTCACTATTGCAACTGGAAGAGCAACTTTTCAACTAACACACCTGTTTTCAATGAACGGATGAAAGAAATGGTTAAAAGCTGACCCCTTACAGTTTCCCCAGATGGTCAACTCTAAAAAGGGTTTAGATTAGCTTTTTACACTATTTCACCAAACAAGTGAAATTTTAACATTACCAAAATGACAGAAAATTTTCTGAATTTTTTTTTCTGGTCAACTTATGAGAGTTTTAGAATAGAATTTCATAATACTCCTAGACAAAATTGACTTATTTCAGCGGTCAACGTACAAGATATACAGGTGATCAAGCTGCAAAGGTTTTGCTTCTTTATATTATATAAGCTTGATAATTGAGGTCAACTTATGCAGGTGCCCAACTTACAAGGGTGGTCAACTTGGCAGGTTTCACTGTACTTTTAAAATAGAATTTGGGTTCATGAGCAGAAGTGGTTCATTTTTTGAATAATCTGCGCTGACTATTTATCAGAAACCGTGAGGAGGCTTTCTGATGTAGGAGGTGATGGTATATCACTGCCCAGTAATGGACTAGCACTCGTTTCTATGGAGCATTGTTGCTTTTACAGTTATGGTCGGTTAAAGTTAGTGAAAAATTCCGCTTTTACGTTTTTCTGGCCTAGAAAAAGCTTGGTTAAATAACAACACCCCAATGATTTCTTTACTGAATATTAAAGTTTACTATTAGGCAAGATCTGTGATCCGGCACTTTCCTGAGTTATTGATGCTTTTAGTAGACCATTCAAACTTTCAAAAAATGCAAAATCTGAATTTTTTTATTTAGCTTTTCTCAAAACGACATTTACGCTGAAAAACACTAACTGTACCTTCTTATACAAAAATAAATCTACCAACATGTGAAAAACAGAAATCAATAGGATCTCACCTCGTTTTCAAGAAAACAATTATCAAAGTTGCATATAAAAGCTTCGTCAAAAATCTCAGCCGTTATTATAAATCGTTATTTTACCTGAAAGATCACCTGCTCACATCTGCACTCTCTCCCTTCTTTGAGGTTCATTGCGATGATTTGAGGGAGACGATTGAATTATTTCTAGACGGGCAAGTGATTTATTGTTTCAGGTGTATTTTTTCACGATGAATTGAATCGTGTAATTCGGTGTCGATCGGACTAATAGTTTGGAAGTTATAAACGTTCCATGTACTTAAAAAACAATTTTCTTCAAGTATTTGTTTAAGCAACTGACATAGCTAGCAAGAAATAATAAGCTTTGTTTTCTACGTATTTGTTTTCGCTGAATTGAATACGATTATACTGTTATGAATTGGTAAATATATGCATAGTTTTGTAAATTTTCGCTGATTATGAGGCTAAATATCTCAGGCGGACAGTAAACAAGCAGTTTAATAAGAAACTTTCCAAAAAAGTCCCGGAATTCTAATGTAATTTAGAGAAAAAATAAAGCATACATTTCCAGCACCATTTTTGCCGCACCATCTTGTGGGCTCCATCTAGTGGGCACCATCTAGTGGGCACCATCTTGTGGATGGTACTTGGAGACTATTTTGGCGAAAAAGTGATAGTTTTGGAAAATTTGAGCTTGGAAGCTAATATTTACTGAGTCATACGAGAATTTTCAGGAAACATGTCTAAATTTCCTCGCCAAGCTGCATATACAAGAATATACCTCGTCTGATAGTAGATAGTATTAGTCTGCTTGTAATAGATTTCTAATTTGCGAGTTCGTTGAAACCGCCTTGGAATGAAGAGTCCAAGAAAGTCCGCCTTGGAATGAATGAAACCTTACTGCTATTTAATTTGTAATTGAGTACTAGAAATAGCTGTATATTTTGGAAGATTCTGCTATTACATTTTTAAGACTTCAGAACTGTTTCATTCGTCTCCAAATGAAACGAACCCCTGTGCTAATCCCAATACATAAGTCAATAGAAACAAATAGTTCGAAGTAAGAGTTTTTATATATAAAAAAGTACTTCTTTTGGCACGTACTTGTGTAGACACTTTTTAACTACTTATTGTTAATTTTACTCTACCAAATTGTGAAAACATTATTAGTTGGTAACTTATAAAGACAAATAATTTTTCTTTTAGGAATGTTTGAATTATGTCGAATTGAATGATTTTTGATTAATTATTTCTTAGGTATGTCGGGACCACCCATTTGTTTACTAGCCGTGACGCAATCTGGTTGTCGCCCTGAACTCATAGTTGCGTTATTGTCAATTGGATTGGGAATTGATGGATGCGTATTTTCAGGTTATAACATAACCGCTGTTGATATGACTCCTAACTTTTCTGGTAAGTTCAAATGAATGAACGAATGATTGAATGAATGAATATGTGGACGGATGCGTGAATGAATGGATGAATGGTAGGATGAATGAATGAATGGTTGGATGAATAAATGAATGAATAAGTGGATTGATGTGTGAATGAATAGATGGATGAATGAATGAATGAATATGTGGAAAGATGTGTGAGCAAATGAATGAATATGTGGAAGGATGTGTGAATAAATGAATGAATAGATGGAAGGGTGGATGGATAAATGAATAAATTAATGAATGAATATATGGATGGATGTGTGAATGAATAAATGGATGGGTGGGTGAATGAATGAATGTGTGAATGAATGAATGAAGGAAGCATTTTTAGGTAGAAATTTGTATGAAACGTTAAAAATAATTAAAACTTATTATTGGTTTTATTGTTTGTACAATTTCAGATTTAAAACCCTAGCAGACCTTCATACATTGTTTTAAATTAGTACTAGGAGCCTTCGCTCCCTGCTCGCTGGCGCTTGCCAACCCCCGGAAATGCTTTCGCAGGTCATTTCGGATTGCTTCGCAATCCGATGCTCGCTTTGCTCGCTTATTGGATATGTTCTTAACGTCTAGCTCTTGTATACTTTTTTGAACACTTTTCACTGTAGAAAGTTATAAACCTGTGCATTTCAGTATTAATTTGAAATTGCCAACAGTTCACATATTTTTTTTTAATCACACTATTCTAAATTTTAGTTGTTGAGAAAAGTAACTGTTGTAAGTTTTGTTTTTAAGTCTTTCCCACCTGAGGGCTAAAGCCATGTGTTGTAAAACAATATGAAATAGTACTGAACGCCTGATGTAAAGCATCGGCTTCGATGAAGATAATTTTGTGAGAATTTTTTTGATAATTCGGTGAGAATTCACCCGATTAGACATATGATGCTCACTACGTGCTCTTGCGCGCCGAAGCCTATCAATTAAAACGTATTAGCGTTTTATATAATATAGATTAGCCATATGATGCTCACTACGTGCTCTTGCGCGCCGAAGCCTATCAATTAAAAATGAAAACTGTTGCCAGCGCGAGAAAAGAAATATCATCGGCTTTATTGATACATACATACGTACGTATTAGCGTTTTATATAATAAGATAGAAGATAACATTTAAAAAGCTTTATCAAATATATTTTTAATTGTTTAATCTCTTTAGGAACTATTTATGGCATAGCAAATACAATCGGTAGCATATCTGGCGTTATAGCGCCAATGGTGGTAGCCTATTTCCTACATGGTGGAGTAAGTTACATTTCTTTTTCTCTTATAGTTTCAATGTTCAGAGCTTAAATGTTAATCCCACATTTTGTTAAAACAACATGTGAGGTTAACAGGGATGTAAGATACGCTAAAAAAGTAAAAGGATATCTGGTCATGAAGTGTGCTAAAAAATCATATTTATCTAAACAGTTTATTTTTAAAAGTCACAGACGGTCAGACCTTGTACTATGAAGAATCATTAAAAGTAATAAAAGGTTAGATCCTGCTGTTTGAAAAAGTAATTAAAAATTATTTTGATCTTATGAAAATTATTCAGACAAATATTTATGCTAAAAGAAATATTACCTCTTATGAATTTTATGGCAATTGTTTAAAAATTTACATATTACACAATCACATGTGAACGATATTGAACTTATGTTTAACTGAACTGTTGAAAAAAAACACGCGAAGAAAAAATCGAAACTTTTTAAAAATCAAGATAAATAAATGAATTTTCTTTTAATTTACCCAAAATCAATTTTTTAGATAAGTTACATAGTTAATTAAAAGAATATGCGAATGAATTTAAATTATAGGTTTTCTACGTCAGAAATACTCTCGAAACAATTCACTGGGGATAAGACATTATGCGAGTGCGTGAGTGATATATAGTTCTTTTCTTATAATGGTGTTTCACAATTTAAATATTTTTAACTGACATATTTTTTTAAAATTAATTTAAATTGTTACGTTAAAATACGAAATATAATTTTATTTCATAACCGTCGTTGAAAGGATTTCTGTCGTTAAAATGTTAAATTGGAAAGTTAAAGCGGCGCGTTTTCAAAGATTTGTATCGAAGTTTCACTACCAGTTTTTTAATTAAGAAGGATGCTGGTCAGCAGTAACACCACTGAGAAGTGCACCACGTGACGAATTGTGTCCATTAAATGCCGTTAAGCTGATATTCGGACTTTCTTTTTTTAAGGGATACTAAATAGGTTAGGAGATCTTGTAAGCATTATTAAAAAAATAAAAAAAAAATTCGAAGGACTTAGAAAACATATTAAGAAGGTTCAAAATATGCTTTTAGTTGTATAATTTCAATGTAGGTTAATGGAAAATTAGTCTGTGGTAGTTTGAAGTAAATTGAACCGGTTACAAAACTGTACTACGCTCTTGCCAGCTAAATACGGCGCTGCGACACATAGGTCATTGCGAGGATGTTTGGTTTAGTACGGCTCTCGTAAACATTGGTTATGTGTGGGTGCCGGCTAAATACGGCCACGTGCAAACAAATCATGGTGCGAATTTAGGCTAAATATGGTGCTCCTACGCACCGAGTATCGCGTAAATGCCGGCTAAATATGGCGCTTGTAACGAAAGGGTTGAATATCAAAATTTTCAGCAATGCATTGCAGTAAACAAAATCACTCTTATTGGTTATAGGATCCATGGGGTCGGGATAGCATACTTTGCAGGGCACTGTTCTTATGATCGTGAGAACGGGAGTTTGTATCCAGCCACTCGAAGACTCCGCGTGTAGTAAATGGCGATTGGTGCACGTTAATCTGTCTGGTCACAAAGTCCTTAATGTTCCCATAACAAATTATACCTCTGGGGGTTCAAAATTGGAGATTGTTCTCTCGTTCAGTTCAAAATTGCGATCTGTGGATGAATGAATGGTGCATGAATTGGTCCGTCCTATAAAACGGATGTGACGTATGGCTGGGGTAGAATTCTTGGTCATAGATGGCGCCTCTGGGAAACAAGAGCAATCGCACCCCTCACCTTAATGGCGACAGCAACTACAGCATAGGAGCCAAAGATCGTGTTGGTGACATTTCAAAATAGAGCCGGGATACCCTGGTCGGTAGGGCGCTGGGCTCATGTCCAAGAGTTCGTGGGTTCGATCCCCGCCTGCCGAAGACTCCCAGTGTAGAAAATGGTGACTGATGCACGTTAAATCTGTCAAATCAGTACCCCCAGAGGTATTGATTGTTATGGGAACAAGTCCTCCATGTTCCCATAAAAATCAATACCTCTGGGGGTGCTGATCCAGGATTTCCTTGTCTTCTGTATTGATTCAAAATTACAAAGCTACGGAGTTGAACATTAATAGTCGTAAACCCAAAAAATTGATTCGGCTGTTCAACGACGGTTACAATAATTTAGAATAGCAAGGCCGGAATACCCTGGTTGGTAGGGCACTGGCCCCATGTGCAAGGGGTCGTGGGTTCGATCCCTGCCGGCCGAAGACTCCTCGTGTAGTAACTGGTGACTGATGCACGTTAAATCTGTCGAGTCGCAATGTCTTCCATGTTCCATAACAAGTCATACCTCAGGAGGTACTGATCCAGGAATTTCCTTGTCTTCTAGATTGGTTCAAAATTACAAGGCTAGGAAGTTGAACATTAGTAGTCGTTAATCCAAAATTGGGTCGGCTGTTCAACGGTTATAAAATAAAAATAAAATTCAGAATAGCAATCGCCTGCACACGTTCGCTTTAGCTATTAAAAACTAGATTTTCAACTTGATAATTCTCCTTTTCTAGTAATTTTTCTAACCATTTCACTGCAAAAACAATTTATTTATTAATATTAATTTCTTTTTCAGAACACAACAGCAAATTGGAGCAAAATATTCTACACTACTGTGGCTATTTATTTCATTTGTTCAGCCGCATTTCTTGCTTTTGGATCTGCTGAATTGCAACAGTGGAATTCAGGAAAAATAGAAGAAAAGAAGGAAAAGGACAAAGAAACAAATATCTCGAATCCTGTTATAAATCATAGAATATCAATTTCAGAAACGTTCAAGTGCTGATGACTGTATTGTGATACTTGATTGAGTTGCCTACTTGTGGATCCCTACTTCATCAGCATAGTTGCCAACCCAGAAGTCCAAGATTCTCTGAATATTTTTAAATAAGAACCAAATAACAATAAAGTTAAAATCAAATAATTTTGTTCGCACTTACAAACTTTTTAAAATTAATAAGTTTTGTATATATATTTAAGTTGTTTGTATTTAGTGGAAAAAATCATTCTAAATTTAATTTAATAATTCAGTAATGAAGTGTTAAATCAGGAATTTAACTACCAATCTAAAATTCTTAAATAAAAACGTTTCGAAAAATTAATACAAGTTGAGATATATGTAGCAGTCAACTTATGAAGAAGGTTGATTCATTTTTTTTCATTCCTCATATGATGTTATTCTTATTTATTCAATGGAAGTTATGTTGTTGTTTACATAAGATCACACTTTCTAGATGCCAACTTGATCCGCTTAGTAAAGAAATATTTTCTTGTGGTAACGAAAATTAAATGAATTTTAGTGGAGGATTTTTGAGTTCAAGTAATATTTCCACCACTACGTATCGAAAATTCAAAGAATCATATGAAATGTTATGAAAGTATCATATGTTTATATTTCAACACAGCGGTTCCCCGATTTCTTTCAGCTACGGAACACTTAATGATCACACTTCTTATAACGGAAATCAGTATTCAAAAATAAAGCTTATTTGCAATTCTGAAGAGATTAACCAAATATACTACTAATTATTTTGAATATATTTAATCTTAAGAACGAGATTTTTTTCCATCGTTTTATCAATGATAGTTTTGAAATAAGATTTATAATCAATTAAAGAACTTTCTGAATGTACCAGAAAAGTGAAATTTTTCGAGTTGCTATAATCAAGGTGAAAAGAAAAAAGTGGTAACCGAAATTTCAAATAAATTTTATAATAGATTCATTCGAAGGGCGATGAATTATTATTTGCCTTATTTTATTTAGCGCTCTCTAATTTGAATTAAAAATCTTGTAAGCATATTCAAAATTAGCGTCGATTATTTATGGCAACATAAAAGTAAAAGCAATGACATGACATTTAACGGTACCCATATTGATGCCATCACATTAATGTTATTTGGCCTGATTTTTAAATACCTCCGAAAATGTCACACACTTCCACTAAGATCTTCAATTAAATTAGCAGGGCTGATATGGCCTAATGTAGTTTTGGTTTAGTTTTTTCGGATATACATGGAATGGTTACCAGGAAATCATATTTCTTCATTGATGAATTTTATTTTAAATTGAAAAAGTTTGAGGGGAAATATTGATGCGTGTTTTTTTAGAAATCGGTATCTTTATCATTACTTGAAATGTATTTGAAGAAATTAATTTCTTAAAAATAATAGAAATATTAAATAAGTAATAGATCATTGATTAGATAAAATTTTGATTACAGGTTCAATAATTGGATGAAGTAAATATTAACACTCAAAGTCCATGCAACCTTTCCACAATATTCAAAACCTTTTGGGAACCGCTGCTTTAACGTATAAATCTTCATTTTTAGAACTTAAATCTTAAATTGTCTTACTTAATGACAAATCGATAATTCAAACATATATACATAAAATATATATTAATAACATAGTTATGCATTAAAATGTTAAAGAAGCTTGATTTTCAGAAAATACTTAATATCTTGTATCTTGTACACAACCACTTTGTAAAATATTTCCCAACGACCATACTTGTTGGCAGCTATGTGTTCACACATTTCATATTTATAACAAATTAAAATAAAGATATATGTTATTAAGTTTTATTTAACATGACTCTGAAATCTTATTTAGAAAATTCACTATTGTATACACCCTAAGAAATCAGATTAATTCCCGTGTGAATTACAATTTGTTGTATACATGATAAATTAACCCCTTGAGAGTTAGTTTCAGCTTCTTGCGAATTTTCAGCTGAAGGTTTCTCTGTATCATCGAAACAAAAAAAAAAAAAAAAAAAAAAAAAAAAAAAAAAAAAAAAAAAAAAAANAAAAAAAAAAAAGAAAACATCGCAGAAAGGGACCAACTCGAAGGGTATAACTCGTAACCCCCCGGCAAACATCTACATGTTTTTTACTCTTTATTTTTCCAGTTTAAAATCTATTTGGTTTCCTCGGCGATTGTATTTCACGTGGAGATCACGATAAGGAAATATCCCCAATAAAAATGCAAAAGAATGACTTTGACCAAACTTCCTTCGCTATTATTAATAATAGCCGGTTAATGTGATAAATTTACTTAAAGTATTCATTTTGAATGGCTTATTTGGTTATTATTAGTATTGACAGGTTAGTATTAATAATTAACGATTATTCACATTAACAGTAACATAGACATGCTAGAATAAAGATGCATACTAGATCCTAGGTTTCAGACGTTAGCCCTACCACCTCCAGGGATCGTTAGAGACTACTGGGGGGGGGGGTTANGGGGGGGGGGGGGTTACGATTTTCGGGAGAACTTAAACAATTTATGGAAGACATTTATTTTATACAGCATTTTTCATATTAAAATTAACTATTTCATTTGTTTTGTTGCTGAAAAGCCAGTACATGTTTTACTCTGCATACATTAAATGTTATGGAGAATTATTAATTTATTGGGAGAAGGATTACTAACCAATTATGGTGAAGACCGGAGTTTTTTTTAAAAATAACACTAGAATGTCCAATAATTTTTTTTTTTCAGAATAGTTTAAATTTTGAAATTCAGAAATTTTTTAAAATTTTTAACAAAATATTTTGATAATTTTTTTCATTTATTATGAACATTATAATATTACAATAGTTTTGATTTTTATTCTTTGCTTCAAAGTTTGTAGCAAATAATTAATCGCTTTAGTAAGGTATAGTAAGTTTTTCAAAATAAATAAAGATATAAATAAATAATAATTAAAAAATATTAAAGATATAATGAGTAAAGATGTAAATTGGAATGACCATATCATTAAAATCATTGCTAAAGCTTTTATGGTTTATTAATTAAACTAAAACTAAAATGCATACCCAAAAATGTCACGCGTTACAAACATATAACGGACATAAAACAAATAAACACCTATAACTGCACTATCTGGTGTAACATAACTAAAGTTCAAAGCAAAAAACTCAACCCATCCCAAATTAAATGCTCAGTAGAATGAGCAGCCTAACATATTTCAGGAGAAACAAAGTCATGTATACTGATTTTAAATTAAAAAACCTGTATTGAAACACGTATGAATTTAAATACACATAAAAAAGCTTAAAAATGCACGACTAGTTACACCAAAATCTGTTGAAATGCTGAAAGAGGATTGAAAAAATAGACCCCTTGATCTCTTTCTCTTAAATGACGAAATTCTCTCAAATAAGTTTTTAAATAATATTTACTCAAATTGATTATTATTTACAATTACCAGACGTGTCTAATTTTGAGAAAATTAAGTAATGTATTGTATCAGAAGATAAACTGTTTCAAACATTAGACAAAGAAACCACATTTAGACAATCAAGAAGTTGGTTTGAACCCGTAACCTTGAGAAAAGAAGCAGATTTATTCTTTGTGTCAAGGAGTAAACCATTAACGGAGAGTTATAGTCAAAAATTCTTTAATTCGAGAAATGTGTATTAAAATATTTTGAGCTGATAACAAGTGTTCAAAGTGTATTCCGAGTTTTGATAATGCATAAATGTAAGAAATATCTAGCACTGCCATTTCCTAAAAGAGTAGAAGTAATAAAGAGAAATAATTTTTGTTTTAATTGCCTGGATAAACGTTTGGTTAATACTAATAAATCTAAATTTTCTTGTTCTTTGAGTGAAAGAGAGGTAAAAAAATAAGTGTCATTATTTTTCTTTGCATTATTCGAGAAAGATTGAATAATTGCAAGCGCCATTGACCGAGTATTTCTGAGGCGAGGGAATCTGCATATCTGCCGCCTATTTTCCAAACAACTGCCGCCGCTAGTAGTCAAAACAATGTTACTTCTTCGCGGTTAATAAATCAGTCAAAAACAGTTTTATTGAGTACAGTAAATTGTTTGTTAAAAGATGAGAGGGGAAATAAATACCCATTGCCTCTGCAATTTTAGTTCTAGGAGCCATAAATAATTTTATAACGTCGGCCCTTAACTGGTTAACACCCAGCGTCATATATTTAGGACAGTTCCTTTTTTCAAAGACATTCATTGTGGTGGGAAACTTTTTTCAGTATTTTCATTTATCCGGGTGAATTAAAAGATTCTCAGATACCTCAATGATTTAGTTATTTCTGATTAGATCTAGAATTATAAGGAGCAAGTACTTCTTGATCTATCAAAGACTTTTTGATTGCCCTAACAGTAGTAAAACCAATTAATTTCGATAATATATTATACCACTTTTTCCATAAAACCACTCTTTGTATCATTTCAATATCTAAATTCGGTACAAAACGGGTTAATTTAAAGAGAAAGAAAACCCATTTGGTCGTGTGTAGTATCAACACCCTCCAACCAGAGGGTGTTGGTAGTATTGGCAATACATTCAAAACAAATAAATCTCATGTTAATGCAACTAACTGTAAAATATGATTTGAAAAAGAATTAGATTATTAATTGTTTATAATATTACAGACTTCATGGTGTCAAAAGCGTTAATGATTAATCTACTCGAATAAAAATACATTAAACTAGCAGATGAGAATTGAAATATGCCAGGTAGTAGAGATTTGTTTTTAAGTGCCGAAATCATTTGAGACGTTGTGACCCTGTTAAATTTGTCTCGCTAATAGTAATCTAACTTTCCAGAATACTATTTTTGGATATGTATTTGTGTGGAAGTGTTCCCATTGAAAATCAGAGAAGGGTACATTGAGGTTTCATTTTATATTTTTATTGTATAACAGTTGTTGTGAACAGCAGACCCAATGTTTAACTCTGTAGATTTGCAATTTTGAACTTAATATGGAAAACAAGTGAACTCCTGGATCATATATTGGCGAAAATTGCCTACGTGGAGGACTTCTTGGTAGAATTAACCTGCAGTAGCGTGACATGCAGAGGATAACTTCGAAAACCACTTACGGTAAGCTTGATGGAAAGGGGACTCATGATCCGCCTAAAGCTGTGGATATTTTACACCAGCACTGTTGTCAATGCAAACCGGAAGCGGAATTTGTATCGACCAGCCGTCGTTGGCATTCGAACCCGGTTCATCTAATTGGAAGGCGTAAGCTCTATCCCCTGAGTCATCACAGAGGCATCATTCATTATAGATAATACTAGTATAAAAAAAAACTGTCTGAAACTTTCGGGAAATAGAAGATGCTCAGATTTAGGTACCCAGGAATAAAGAAACAATAATTTGTGAAAAGAACTTGGAATAAAATATTAAAAAGGGTAGCACAAAGACGTATACAGTAAAAATGCCGCTAAAAAATGACCTAACTTGTTTAGGGAAGTCCAAGGATATGACCCTTAAAAAATTAAATTCTCTGTGCAAACGTGTTTTTAAAGGAGTACGAGT